TTTAAATAATAGCCTTGAAACTGTTGATTCCATAATCAAAGCTACTACTCCGTTGGGAGAACTTTATCCCAACCAGTTTTGATTTGCCATAGAGACTGCATAATACATTTCGCAATGATGACAACGGGTCCCAGCAAGCCAAGGGGGTCATATATTTGAGCTATCTGAGATAGCACCAGACGCTTGGTAACCCTTGAATTCTCTTCTATCGACACGCTGTATTGCAGAACATCTGACTGGGCATCCCATAGAAGTCCCAACGTTTTCATGGCACCCTCCTTGTCTATTTTGAGGAAGCTGTTATCGTCGTTGGACTCGGGTAGTTCCTCCAATATACGTGGATCATTGGAACGCCACTTCCGCAGCTGAAACTGTCCCCGTTGCAATAACTCCGACAGCTGCTGTCGCAAGGCTATGGCCCCTTCTATGGTACTTGCGCCAGACAAAACATCGTCCATGTAGAAATCTTCTAGCAAGACCAGGATTGCTTGTAGAAACTCCGATTTCTCATTGTCCAATGCTTCTTTTAGGAACTTCTTCAGCTCTTCGATCTTCAACCTTATTTCGAGAAACCTCTTCATCTCTTCGACCGTCAAGGTTGCCTTTAGAAACCTTTCCAGTTCTTCTATCGCTAATCTCTCCAAACAGCTGAGGGCTAAATAAGGTGCACATGCGGTGCCATATGTCACCGTGTTCATCCTAAAGATCTGAACTGGTTGCGATGGATCTGATCTCCACAGAATCAGTTGTAAATCTCGGTCTTCTTCGCACACGAGTATCTGTCGGAACATTGCAACTATGTCCGCCGTTATGACAAAGGGGTGTGATCGAAAGCGTAAGACTATGCAGAACAGGCTCTTCTGCTTGTTTGGACCGGCGAATAACTTGTCGTTTAACGATGTTCCCAACGATGTCTTCGCTGAGGCGTTGAATACAACACGTAACTTAGTTGTGGTGCTGTCCGGTTTAATCACCGGATGATGCGGAAGTATGTACGATTGCTCTACCTTTGTGCTCGTATCTGGGCCTGGTCCCATTAACGACATGTGGCCTTGAGTTTCATAGTCTTCCATGAATTGAACATACGCATTCTTCAATGCTGGATCTCCTCTGAATCTTCTTTTTAGGGAATATAATCGCTGCAATGCTTGATTCCCTGGATCGCCGAGTTTCACTCCGGGTTTCTTCGGAAGTGTTACGATGAACCTACCAGTTTCATCTCGCTTGACCGACTCATGGAACTGCCGTTCACACTCAATCTCTTCTTGGGTGAGACTCCGTTTTTCGAGCGTCTCCTCTTGCTTCCAAAAGCGTTCTAACTGCGCTTGGAGTTGCGCATTTGTGATGAGACCGCAGAAGCTTCTTAGAGTTTTCGAGCTGGCGTCGAGAAGCTCCCCTCCTACAATCTATCCTAGCAACGTACGTTGTAATCTGGGTATTCCCTTTGGTCTTTGAATATAATCCTTGCAGATTAATTGCCAGAAAAGTCCTGCTCCTATTAGAATATCCACTGTTCCTGGCGTGTGGAAATCAGGATCTGCTAGGCTCAAACCCTCCGGCAAGCAAATCAGTTTAGTATTGATTTTGACTTGAGGAAGTCTTTCAGTAATGGCAGGCAGCACGAGACATTCTATGGCTACCTCATAATCCGCGTTCGTCGATCGGATTTTTACTTCTACTGTCTTACCGACATTGGTTTGTGATCGGTTGATCCCACTGATGACTTCGTCTCTCCTTTTACATTTCAATCTGAGCCTGTCGACGAGTTCCTGGGTGATCAAATTGGATTGCGACCCTGCATCTAGAAGTGCACGGCATTTGTGCTGGCCTCCATTGACGTCATGGACTATAACTCGGGCCGTTGACAGCACCACGCACGACGTGGGTTTTCTTTCAAGGTTGATTACAGAAGATGACTCTTCAGTATCTTGCAAGGTTTCTTGAGTGCCGTGCATTACCACTGCCTTCTTGGACGCGTCCTCTTCTGACTTCTTATCGGTTGCAGTCTTCTCTTCTTGCTCTGGATGCAACAGGGTATTGTGCTTCTTCTGGCACCTCCGGCATGCTGAAGATTTGCAAGCCGCGGAAAAGTGTCCTTTGCTTAAGCAGTTCATACACAGTTTCTTCGCTTTCACCTCCTTTAATCTGTCAGCACTCGATAGCTGCAAAAAATCCGAGCATCGGTACAACTGATGATTCTTGCTGCAGAGGACACAACCTTCTTGAGAGGTGGTTGCCAAAACTACTTTTCTTTCTTGTTTTTTCCCTGCTGACGTCTTTGATGCTTCCGACTTTCCCTTGGTCTTGTCAATTATCTCAAGCGTTCGTACTTGCTCATTGA